TGACTTTTACATCTTATCCATACTCCTCATATAATATATTTCATCTTTTATATTAATTTGATTTAAAAATAAATATTGCTATTTTCATACCTAACAATTTTAAACTAATTAAATCATAAATTCTATTTCTTTTTTGAATCAAAGGATATAAGGGCAAAATTGTCAAATTAAACTTATTAAACATTCAGTTATAAATATTTATCAAACAGTATAAATAGATTTAGCATTAAAATTCAGACATTCATATATTTTTTTTAGTGCTTAAAATTCAGCAAATTAATTGTTTCAGTATTCAGATTTCAGAATTCAGACTTCAGAATTCAGATTCAGTTTTATCAAACGGAACCTTAATTAGGAAGGCCTTCGTAAGACATGTTTTACCTAATGGTTCAATCCGTAATTATCGTTCAGTACAAACGTAAGTAGTTTCAAAATCTTAAAAGTAGAATAACCGTCATTTTCTTTCTGTAAACTTCGCATTTTACAAATATATATAAATAGAAAGAACTAGAAAAAAATAGCAGACGTATATTGCAAGATGATATTTGATATCACTTTACTATATGGTATTGCATTCTAGGATAAATCATTTGCATGAAATGGTAACTAAAACAAAAATAAAAAAGTAAGAAGATTTATTTTTGGATAATATCTAAGTGTAAGTGAGCAGTACAAGTGAGTATATGTAACAGCATAATAAATTAGGTATCATTTAAATATCTTAACGAGTTCCCCTATCCTTCATCAAATTTTCATCAAATCATTTGCATGAAATTTTATCTAAAATAAAAAGTAAGAAAATTTATTTTTGGATAATATCTAAATGCAAGTGAGCAGTACAAGTGAGTATATGTAACGGCATAATAAGTTAGGTATTATTTAAATATCCTAACGAGTCCTTCTATCCTTCATCAAATCTTCATTAAATTATTTGCATAAAATTTTATCTAAAATAACAAGTAAAAAAATTGTTCTTGGATAATTAATATCTAATTGCAAGTGAGCAGTACAAACGAGTATATGTAATAACATAGTAAGTTAGGTATAATTTAAATATCTTAACAAGTTGCCCTGTCCTTGATCAAATCTACATTAAATCACTTACAAAAAAATTTATCTAAAATAAAAAGTACAAAAAAATTTGTTCTTAGATAATATCTAAGTGTCAATGAGCATTACAAGTGAGTATATGTAACGACATAACAAGTTGAGTATTATTTAAATATCTTAATGAATTCCCCAATCTTTCATGAAATCTTCATTAAATCATCTGCTTGAAATTTCGTCTAAAATAAAAAGTAAGAAAATTATTCTTGGATAATATCTAAGTGCAAGTGAGCATTTGCATGAAATAGTAACTAAAATTAAAGCAAGAAAATTTGTTCTTGGATAAAATAACTAAATGCAAGCTAGCAATTCAACTAAATATATGCAGGGACATTGTAAGTTAGGTGTTATTTAAGTATCTTAACGAGCTCTCCTATCCTTCATCAAATCTTCATTAAATCATTTGTATGAAATTTTATCTATCTAAAATAAAAAGTAAGAAAATATATTCTTGGATAATATCTAATTGAAAGTTAGCATTACAATTTACAAATGAGTATATATAACGACATGGAAAGTTATGTGTGATTTAACTATATGAACGATATTTATTCTTGGATAATATTTAAGTGCAAGTGAGCAGTATAAGTAAGTATATATAATAACATAGTAAGTTAGGTGTTATTTAAATATCTTAACGAGTTTCCCTATCATTCGTCAAATTTTCGTTAAATGATTTGTGTGGAATTTTTTCTAAAATAAAAAGTAAGAAATTTTATTCTTGGATAAAAAGTATGAATTAGTAAGATAATTGCTTGATAATAAGAAAAATGTACCAAAAATAATTGAGTAATGTGCAAATTAGTAATTGGTCAATGGCATATATTTTGCAATTAACCCAAACAATAATAATTGCTTGATAGCCCGGGCTAATACCACCCAGAATTTTGGCTGAAAAGCGGGCGGGACAGGTGCAATGCATGAACAAAATTTTAAAACCTTTTACCCAACCATTTTTGGCCACCCGCCATCGATCCGGACTAATGACCTGTGACCTGTTTTAGCACTAAAATATGTGTCCAGCAATAGCCATGTCTGTGCAAAATCTAAAATATGCAACTTTATATCAGCCGGTTACCTGTTTATTTTGTCCCATTTTTTTTTCTTTCTTTATTTTCTCCTGACACTATACGAAAGAAAGTGATTTGACAATAGTGATTTTGTTACTACTCTTCAAATACCATATATAACTGTCTCTGTTCAATGCAAAAGCTATTTCTTCAAGTCGAGCTCGGTAGCGTGGGCTCCAACCAAGGACATTATATGGTCTGAATTCTGAGATACAAACGGGCTGTAGCTCCTCAAGCCTTAGCCCACCGTTTCCTTATTCCCAAACTCCCCCCTGCCCAGAGCCCACCACCCACCACGTCTGGGTTCGTAGATGGCTCATTCAATATCTGTCCCTTGAAATTTGAATTTTGACGTTTGGGACAATTTAACCACAAATTACAACGGGCAATATGTAGCCCAAAAAAAAAAAAAAATTACAGGCATGGACTAAAATATTTTGTCATTGTATGATCCTTTTTTTTGAGTTGAATTTGATTTAATGATAGATGAAGCAGAGTTAACGACCAAAAAAAGAACACTTGAGTTGAATAGTGACTAATTGAAAAAGGGTTTTTAACTATGAACATGTTCCACTTCCCCAAGAAATAAAATTTTATCTTATGGAAGATAGATAATTGTACACACACTTTAATCTCTGGCACAGCTTTATAAGTTATATTCTCTTATATAGATATGGAATAATTTCAAAAATTTCTCTTGAGGTTTTTGACAATTTCACTTGTCTCCCCTGAGCTTTGCAAAGTAATACTAACTTCCCTTATATTGTCTTATTGGAAGAAAATTACTCATACATCCTAAGATATTATGTCTTATTGGAAATTAACATCTGGCAATTAAGTAATTAGGGCACTAATTAACTGTTACTAACTAATTAACAAAAATAGTTACTAGAAAATTTTTAATGATGAACAATAACCTGTAATTACAAAATGGTGCCAATTGATGCACCAAATTTTTTTTCACTTTCACAAATTGATACACCAAAAATCTTCACAGCTGAATTTGTCTGAATTGATACACTAACAGTAATTTGTTTGAATTTTTTATTCTCTCAAAAATCTTCACAACTATCTTGCGATTACACTTGCAATATTTGTTCTTGATGTAAAAGGATATGAGTGAATTTTATGATTTCCTCATGTAGCTTAACAGGGCTATAGTTTCTACATATATACTTCACCTTCAACTTGCAAAATCCACACAAAATCACTATTTTCCCACCTCAAATTTTACTGCTTTAGGTGAAAGTGAGATCCATCTTAATGCTTCTTGTTGCCTTTTATATGCAAAATGATAAAGACGGGAAAAAATAACTGTTGTAATCCAATGCACTAGCCCTAAGTCCAACTTTGTAGAGAAAATCAATTACTACTTATTTTTACTCTTTGCTATTTGCACTTATCTTCCCTCACTTTTGTTATATATGTATTTCATTCCTTTACAATATAGCTTATACACGAGCATAAAAAGGGCATTTGTAGAATAAAAGTACTATCTCTTTTCTCAAAACACTTTTTTAATGGTACTTTTTTTGATTTGGATTGATTTTGTTATCAAAACCTTAACTTCAAAGGAGGTTAGTATAATTTTACAAACCTTAAGGGAGGTTTCTAAAATTAGCCCTATACACACACACACACACACACACACACACATATTTTCTGACAAGCAATGGTTTATAATATTTATTAGCAAACAAATGGATACTAGAATTTAAGGTCTTGTTTTTTATTTATGGTTAATTTATACAAATATGAATAATTTAAATATAAAAATTAACAACGGTTCTACATATTCATTCATATTAATTTTAAAAAATTAATGTATTTTAAATGTTTAATTATTTATTAATTTTTAAAAATTTGTTTACATACTTTTCACTATAATATGATAGTATACATCAAATAATGTACCCCATATCTAAAACTTGGTAGATATTCTTTTTTTATAAATATTCTTTTTGAAAATTTAAATTTTTATAATGACCATAAACCTAGAATTATATATTCATACTTAATTAAGTAGAAAAAGATGCATTAACCCATTTTTCTTCATCAATAAATATTCATTTTTCAATAATATTGATAAATTTATCGGTGTAACAGTTAATTCTCTTTTTTACACTAAGTTAATTCAAAATTAAGAAGATATGATGAACAATTTGAATACGAATCAATGATATGGTGATGAAAGGAAGTAATTTATGGGATTTGTAAGATTTCAATGATTGTGATTTAAAAAGGTTTTACTATATTTCTATATAATAATTTGGTAGAAAGCAAATATCATTAAGATAAGATTAGTTTTTTTTAAGTTATTTTAAAATTAAAGATAAATTTTAAACATATAATATAATCATTTTAATAATTTGATAGAAAGCAAACATCGTTAATATAAGATTAGTTATTTTTTAAAGTTATTTTAAAATTAGAGATAATTTTTAAACACATAATATAATCCAAATAGAATTCAGTATGGATAAAACCCAAGTAATCCATAATTCATTAATTCTCTTAAATTAAACATGCTTATATAAAAGTGAGAAACACTATGATTAAAATAGCTACTTTTATATATACATAGGTGCATACAAAGCATCTAAATTTTCGAAGTATATGATCTACCATCCAGCTAAATCTACAAATTTACTAAAATAATTTACCCATCTTCTTTTGGGCGAGAAAGAATTAGAAGCAAAGAAAAGAAGCAGATGTTTTTCCTTTTGGGTGAGAAACTTTCTCAATTGTCTCTGTAAAATTTCATTCGGTTGTGGTAAAAACTTGTACTTTCTACACTGCTACAAAGGCGTTAAACCCTAAAAGCAACAAAGGCGGGATTAAAGCATCAGCAAGCATAGGGCTGATACTCAGGCAGCTCCAATCGCTTCGGCCATTCATGGCATCGCCCTCCTCCATGACGACGACGTCGTCTACCACTTCAAAACTCGTATTCTCCGGCTGCTCAACCTCCTCCTCCTCCTCCTCCTCTCCTCGACTCCTCCCATTGACCACCGCCACCACCTCCTCCAAATGCAGAGCTTTTCACTTCCACCGCCGCTTCAACCCCCTCCGTCATGTCCATCTGCGTCCGTGCAAAAATCCCACAACTGTCTTCGCTCAAACTATCAGCCCTCCTTCGTTCATTGCTGGTACAATTCAACTTCGTATGAATTGCTCATAAAGATTCGTTTTTGTTTTTGAAAATCAAAGTTTATGTCTTTGCTTGATTATGCATGCAGCTTGAGATAAAATTTGACAATTAGGTCAAAAAAATCACGTCTTCAACATTTTGTGATTGTGGGTTTCTTGTCTTTTCATTGAATTTCATCGGGTTTTTGCTTTATTTTTTCCTAATGTTTCTTGAATTTTGTTAATCAGCTGCTATGGCTACTGAACCTTCTGCTAAAGTTATTGATGGAAAAAGGGTTGCTAAAGAAATCAGAGAGGAAGTAGCAGCAGGAGTATCTAAGATGAAGGAGGCACTAGGCGTCGTTCCAGGGCTGGCAGTGATCCTAGTTGGGGACAGGAAGGATTCAGCAACTTATGTTCGCAACAAGAAGAAAGCTTGTGAGGACGCAGGAATTAAATCTTTTGAAGCGTGTTTGCCTAAAGACGCGACAGAAGAAGAAGTGCTTAAGCATATTTCAAGTTTTAATAATGACCCTGCGGTTCATGGCATCCTTGTTCAGCTACCTTTACCTTCTGTATGGTTTTGAATATCATTATTTCTTGTCCTTTTTGGATCAAATTCGGTTGCAAAATATGCCTGAATCTACTTTTTTTTTTTTGCCTGTATAATGGTATGGTTTGTGCTTGAAATGATAAGGAAAAAAAAAATGTAACTATTTTCAATGGTTTCCTCTGCTATCTTGAGTCAAGTTGAAGTAGAGCTAATTTCTTTTGTAAATGAAGCATTGCTCTGAAGTGAACTATTCTTTAATGGATGTTTGTGAATTACAATGTAGCTAATACTTTATTGTGTCTTTTATAATTTTCCCTGGACTTTCATTTCTTCAATATAACATTTTGGGACCATTAAAATTATTCCGTTTGATGAGTGAGGACTAGAAAGCTATGCATGTTTACCATTATGATTATCTTGTGTTTCTATATTTGTCTCTCATTGCTCAATGCAAATTGAACTTATTCTCTGCTTCCTTCATTATCTGTAAATTGTAAATTGATTGACTGCTTGATAAAAATGGTTTAGGACAACTTAAGATTCTATAGTAAGAGACTCGGAAGTTACTAATGTTAACTTATAAGTTCTTGTTTGAGGTCACTTTTAACTCCTGTCTTCATGGATCTTGTACAGCACATCAACGAGCAGAATGTATTAAATGCTGTTTGCATTGAAAAAGATGTGGACGGATTCCACCCACTAAACATTGGACGTCTTGCCATGCGAGATAGGGAACCACTATTTGTGCCTTGCACGCCTAAAGGATGCATAGAATTGTTGCATAGATATGGTGTTGTTATCAAAGGGAAGAGAGCAGTTGTTATTGGCCGGAGTAATATTGTTGGGATGCCTGCTGCTCTATTGCTACAAGTAAGATTATTGCTGGCTGGAAATCTTTCAATTAAAATCTTCCGAGCTAGCGTATCACTGTTTTTTTTTTCCCTGTTAATAGATTGAATTGTTTTAATTTTTGGTTTTCCCTTGGTACTTTGGGATGGTAGAGGGAAGATGCAACTGTGAGTGTTGTCCATTCTAGAACAAAGAATCCTGAGGAGTTTACTAGAGAAGCTGATATTATCATCTCAGCTGTAGGACAAGCAAATATGGTGAAGGGTAGCTGGATAAAGCCTGGTGCAGTTATTATTGATGTTGGGATAAATCCAGTTGAGGTGGGGTATCTTCATTTGTCATTGGGCACTTCGCTTCCACTGCCTCAATCCCTTCTCCCCCTTCCTCTGCTCCAAGTGCCCCTTGAATGTTTTGTTTGCTTAAAACCTCTAAGCTGCAGTGTTGAATTTGTTTGCGTGCTTTAATAACGAGGTAATTTTGGTTGTGCCTTTGTGACAGGATTCTGAAAGCCCTCGGGGCTATCGGCTAGTTGGTGATGTTTGTTATGATGAGGCTAGGCAAATTGCATCTGCTATCACTCCTGTTCCCGGCGGAGTTGGACCTATGACGATAGCAATGCTGCTGTCAAATACTCTGACGTCTGCAAAGAGAATTCACAACTTCAATTGATATTTTCACCATGACCTCTTGTCCCAATAGGCAGAGGCCCTCCTTCAAACAAGTGCAGGTCCTTTGTTGGGACTTCCTCCCATCTTCTTTCCATGTAGGGCACCAAAAATAAAATTTTGTCCGCCTTTTTGCCAAGCAAAATCTATGCAGCTATTATAGAGATGACATATAGGGAGTCCTTTGGAGCAAGAAGCATCCTATTTGGCTCAGTATTTTCAAATGATTAAGAGCAATTGGTCGTGCTTACTAATTGGTAAATGATGTGCATATAGACAGAACCGTGCAAGATGGGTAATTTAAGAAGGAAGCGAACAACAAACGAGCCATGAGGACGCCAGCCTTTTAGATGAAAAATAGGATATCCTATTTTCAAGTTAAGATTGCATTTTTGTGTTCAGTCTTTGCCCATGAAGAGAAGCACTGGCTTCTGATTTGGCAACATTATCAACATCAGGATTAGTTATATTTACATGCACATTGTATTCTTTCTTTGATTTTCTGGTTGCATGCACTTATTTTGAATTCATCCTGCTGTCTACGTGAAATTTTTATTTTAGTTAGTTTCATCAAAATTGTCATTCCATAGACTCAAGATATCTTTACATACGGTATTGCTTTATGCTTGTGTAGCTTGTCTATATTAATCATCACAATCAAGCAGAAAAGGTACTAACAGGCAAGTAGAAGTGGCAAAATGGATTCATATCCACCAATCCATCCATATAAACCAACTTTAAATGGATTTGGATGATCCATATAAATTCAATGGTTTTAAATGGATAACCATTTAAATCCAATTATATTGATGAATTTAAATGGATTATCCATGTAATCTATATACATCCATTTAACTTAAAAAACAGTCAACATAGATAGGATTGACTAGGAGCTAATTAGTGCTTACAAATCTTTTTGGGTGGATTTTCTTATTTCTGTTTTCATTAGTTGAGTGAATCTGAGTTTAACCGTATCGCTCATGCTGTCTATTAACTGGACATGTGACACTTGTATGTGTAACAAGCATTAGTGGGCCCAGTTACCACTCTTAACCTTTTCTAACAGAAGTTAGAAATTCGGCTTTTATGAACCTAACTTCCAGAAGAAACTTCAAAAGCCAGTAACTTCCAAAAGAAACCTCAAAAGCCGGCAACTCTTGAGATCCTCCTGGGGACTTATAAATCCAAACCCAACCTCCCAGAACCGATGTGGTATGGCAACCCCACAAGGGCCTAGTTACCAAAGAGACCCACTTATTTTGGTAAGAGCTGTGTTAAGGTGAAATAGAATGGGATTATACAATGTTGCACCTTCCAATCAGATGATATTTCTTCTTGGGGAGATCCAATCAGGTGACTTAGCGACATGTGATGCAACGTACGGCCGTTGATGGGTTTTGGTGGGTCCAGTTAAAATAATTTTTCATTTTTTTAATTTCTTTTATTTATAAAAATAATTTTTCTAATTAGTATCCCGCAATATTGGTTAAGAAACGTAAATGACACCTTCTTTTATTTTTTTTAATAAGTTGAAGGTTTTGAATCCAAATTCTCATACTTACAATCCCTCTCCCCTTATCACCCAACCAACTATCAAAAAAAAAAAAAGGCACCTAATTTACTAAGTAATATAATGTAGCTTGTATATCAATAATATAATAAGGAGTTTCATACATTTTTAGATATTACGTGCACATGTGATGAAAATATTTTACTTGTCAAATAACATAAGATTTCTTACTAGAACTCCACTTTTATTCAAGGCATCTCACTTGAATAGGAGTGTAAAAAATTGGAAACGTAAACTTCTTTTCACTGTAAATCCGTATTCAATTCACCCAAAAGTTGTAAAAATGTAGCGAAGTTCTTAATTGTTCATTACTTTACAAAATGATACTTAAAGTAATGATGAAAGGTCTAAATTGACCACAGCAGTTAAATTTTCTTGGAACTAAACTAATTTTATGAAGAACTGAAATAGAGTATAGTACAAGCATTTGTTATTACCAAAAGGTTTTAGGTGATTTAAGGATAGAACTTTGGGGATCTGTATTTTTTGGAAAAAAAAACATTTGGATCTTAAATTTAGGATTTGGGAGAGTAAATGGATAAATGGATGGATCAGTTTACACTATCCATTTAAATGACATCCATTTAGATCCATTTATTAAATAGTTTTAATTGAATTGGATCAATTTGATCCATTATCTATTTAACTAAAACCATTTATCAACTATATATCCATTTTGTCACTTTTAGTTATGGTCATCAAGAATGCAAACCCGGGACAAATTGATTGCTACTTCACTTGCGGAGACCCCAAGGTACTCTACCAAACCTCTCTCTCTCCAAATTTTAGGCAAAAATGCAGAACCCATAATTATAAAATCAGATGCCGGCAATCCCGCAACTATGATTTGTTGTTATACATTTAGACTAGCTAACTAAGGTGTGTATGAATGATTATTCTCAGTGTTAAAAACATATCAATCCATTTTGTTTTAATTATTTATTTATCTTTGTCGAAATCCATTTTGTCTTAGTTTTGTACTAAACGGCCTCGTTTGGAAGGTGAGTTTTTTGGATGTTTGTGTAAAACTTTACTATAGATCACTGTAAAAATTGTAGAAAAACTTTTTGTAAGATGAAAAAACTTTTTTCCTTTTCCTTTTCCTTTTGTCTTTCTTTTTCTTTTTTCTTTTTTCTTTTTTGTCTTTCTTTCTTTTTTCTTTTTCTTCCTCCCTGTTTCCTCTCCTGAAACTGCTGCAACTTTCTTTCTTTTTTGCTTTGTTTTCTCTCCCCCTCTCCTGCCCGCCACCCCTCCCTCTCCCTCACCCGTCGGCTATATCAGAGATTATCTCATCGGCATCGTGCGGATCAAAATTTCTGGGGAGATTATCTCATCGGCACCGTACGGATCAAAATTTGCGTTTCTGGGAAGATTCTAAGTTGGAAAGTTAGGAAGCCTGATGATGCGGTGGATGTCTGGTGGGCTGTTGGTTTTGAATTTTGATGGCTACAATTTTGCAGAAGATCCCCTTTCTTTTTTTGGTAGATAAATCAACTTGAGCTTTTGTTAGTTCTTTTTCCACAAAAAAAAAAAAAAAAAGCTTTTGCCAGTTCTCACCTCCTGTTGGCAATTTGTTGGGGAAATTTTGATAGGTGGGTGGTCTGGAGTTTTCCTGGGAGCAATATTAAGTGAGATAATGGCGAAATTAGGAAACTTTTTTGACTGGAACTAGGTTCAGGTAGTCGGCGCCGGAAGAGGTGATTGACACGGGTACCGGCAGCGGAGGTGGTGGCCGGCGACGGAGATGGTGGTAGGTTCAGGTGTGGGAGGAAGAAGAAGAAAAGGGGAAGGGGAGAATTTTTTTGTGTGTTTTTGGTATTTTGAAGTGTGTACTGTAGCTAAAGTTGGTAAAAAATTAGTATAAAACAAACTTGAGTAAAAATTCAACTTCCAAACAGGCCCAATTATAATACTACTAAGTTTCATCTGTTGCAGGCAAAAACCTTGCACCAGCTTCATATGTGAGAGCCGACTGCAATGGGCAATGGGCTTTCAGTTGTTGGATCTCTTTTCATATTCACAGGAAACTAGAGGCCCAGAAAACTAGAAGCAAAATCTAAATCACTCTTACATTCATATTCAACACTCAATCATCCATCCATCCATCTCCACAGGAGGATCTCATTTCAGACCACCAGCTGGTTTTGCAATTATAATCTGTATCGGGAAACCAATATACAGCACACAATCACAATTATTGTAAAAGATGAGGAAAACTTCTTAACGTTGAAACATGAGAAGAACCATTTCCATCATTCTGTGGGTGGAACAAATGCACATGTTTAAGACCAAAATGCATTACTGTGGATTTTGATGGAAAATATTGTTCCTTTTGCTGGTTGTAGCAATATCAAAGCAATTGAAAATATTGCACTACACCTACTAAAAGTCAGATGAGATTTATGATCAAAATTTCCAGCAAAGGCATCCACAATTATTAACAACAGCAGCACCGTTTAGACCCTCCTTATGGGACCTTAGTGTCCCAAACTGAGGCAAAATAACTACAAGAATCTCAAACTATACTTAAATATTGTGGTTAACCCAAGCCTTCTTTTGAAACTAGTGATAGGGTATAGTATGAGCTTTTAGCATGTCCAAGAAATCCTGTCATGATGCATGACTTCTGATCCACTTAGGAGATCTAAGATCTCCACACTTGGAAAGTCTCTGCAAATTCACCTATATCCTCACTTAGCCCCAATAAGGGAAATTTCTAGGCTGTGCATTCAAAAGACAATCACACAACCCACAGAATAACTTGATCAACTGAAAACCTATACCTAGAACCATGGCCATCACCTACGTACCAATTACCAAGTAATCCTGCCAATTATTGCATATTTGCTCTATAAACTACATTGAATTCTCTACCACCAAGTGAAACTCTTTCATATTAAAAAAAAAGTCAACTAAATGCAGCATAAACCACAAAAATGGGTAATTCACTACCAGTATCATGACAACAGCATTACAAACAAGAAAAGTAAAGATGCCAAGAATGTCTTACCCGGTCTACACGCAGGACAATACAAACAGCATCAGCAGCATATTTGAGAGCAAAAAACTTGTCAATTGAATCAAATCCCTAGTTAAGAACCATCTGACACTTCATTAAATTCGATATTTCAGAATAGCTCGAGTTGCTGAAGAATATTCTAGAATGCATCAATCCCAGGGAGAGTAAACTAAAAAAGATCTCCTTCATGGGTAGAAAAAAACCCAAGCAGGCAAGCACTTGAGTATCAGCTCCCGTTTTCACAAGCTCATGCACAACTGGGCTGCTTGGATCTTTTGATTAATTTTGAGGATCCAATGATCAAGATCGACAGAGCTCAGGATCTCCATTGAGCTTTTGTTTACGTTGCTCCGCAAAAGCTAGATTTAGTTAGGTGGTAGCCTTTAATATGCATGACATATGCGGGTCACTAGAAATTGCTAAACAATCTTCTGAACAACCTTTACCAGCAGGGTTTAATGCTTACTCCAAGAATGACTTTAAAAGTAAAAATTGCTCTCAATCTTCAAAATTGAACCTTCTACGCTAGAAAATTGAATGTGGATTTCAGCAATATAAGAAAAAAGCTTACTTTATGGTATATAGGTCCCATACACTGGTTGTGGAGACATCTTTGCAGATGCCTTCCTCCAAACCGATGTCAACACCGGTGTTCCCAGATGCAGGTTCGGCATACAAAGATGCTATGATCTCCATAGCATTAAGCCCAGCTTTCTTAGCCAGGGTTTTAGGTACCATTTCAAAACTTTCAGCAAATTTGGAAATTGCACACTGATCTAAGTTGCAAGGCAATGGAAAAATCTGAGCCTCAACCAAACAAATCATCTACAATTCAGTTTACTAATTGACAAGAAATCAAGCTAACAATAGACGAGTCACAGTATGCCAAAGGCTATGAGAAGCCAGTAAATATTTGCATAAACATTCAACAAAAACACTTTCAGAAATAGAAT